TGGGCCCTGTAGTCCCCAGCTACCGAAAGGCTGAGGCAGGTACGAATTGGTGGTGAATCCCCGGGAGGATGCGCTTGCCTAGTGGACGGCAGATCACGCTGGCACTCCCTGGCCACCGGAGCAAGACTACATCCTCAAAAAACAAAACTAAAAGAGAAACAAAAAAAAAAAAAAATCTTATTGACATTGTTGGCCAGGCGCGGTGGCTCATGCCTGTAATCCCAGCACTTTTGGAGGCCGAGGCGGGTCGATCACAAGGTCAGGAGATCGAGACCATCCTGGCTAACATGGTGAAACCCCTGTCTCTACTAAAAATACAAAAAATTAGCCGGGTATGGTGGTGGGTGCCTGTAGTCCCAGCTACTCGAAAGGCTGAGGCAGGAGAATGGTGTGAACCCGGGAGGTGGAGCTTGCAGTGAGCGGAGATCACGCCACTGCACTCCAGCCTGGGCCACGGAGCAAGACTCCATCTCAAAAAAAAAACAAAAGAGAAACCAAAAAAAAAAAAATTCTTTATTGAATTGTTGTGGCAACCTTGTTGAGTTGATTGTAAGTATAAGGGTATATTATTTCTGGATTCTCAGTTCTATTATATCAATTTATATATCTATCCTTAGCTATTTGTCTATATTACACTGTCTTGATTACTTTACTTTTGCAGAAAGTTATAAAACCTAGAAGTGTGAGTCCTTTGGTTCTGTTCTTTTCAACATTGTTTTGGTTATTCCGGGTCTCTTGCATTTCCATATGAATTTTAGGATCAGCCTGTCAGTTTCTGCCAAAAGAGTAGCTAGGATTTGATAAAGGATTATTTTGAATTAGATTGATTTGGGGAGTATTGCATTGTAACAACAGTAAGTCTTCTGGTCCATGTACATAGAATGTTTTTCCACGTGTTTAGGTATTGAATTAAAAATTTTTTCAATGTGTTTTACAGTTTTTAGCATACAAGTCTTATACTTCTTTTAAAAAATGTATTCGTATTTTTTGTTTTTGATGTTATTGTGAGATTTTCTTGATTTCATTTTCAGATTGTTTATTGCTAATATATAAAAATCCAATTGATTTTTGCATATTAATCTTATATCCTGCAACCTTACTAAACTTATTAATTCTAATTTTTTTTAGTGGAGTCTTTAGGATTTTCTGTATACAGGGTCATGTTATCTTGAAACAGTTTTACTTATTCCTTTCCAATCTAGATGTTTGTTCGTTCATTCTCTCTCTCTCTCTCTCTTTTACTTATTCCTTTCCAATCTAGATGTTTGTTCGTTCATTCTCTCTCTCTCTCTCTCTTTTTGTCTAATTGTCTGGTTAGATTGTACAGTATATTCGTGACTAAGTACTGAGAGTGGATATCCTTGTCTTGTTCCTGATCTTAGGGGAAGGCATCCAGTCTTTCACCATTAATTATAATGTTAACTCTGGACTTTTTTTTTTTTTTTTTTTTTGACGTAATTAGGATTTACTCGAGCCTTGATCTCCCAGGCTTAAGGATCCTCCAACCTCAGCCTCCCAAGCAGCTGGGACCACAGATGCATACCACCACACCTGGCTAAGTTTTAAGTGTTTTTGTATAGATGGTGTCTCACTGTGTTGCCCAGGCTGGTCTTGAACAGCTAGGCTCAAGTGATCCTCCCACCTCGGCCTCCCAAAGTGTTGGGATTACAGGCGTGAGCCACTGCTCCTGGCCTGGCCTTTTCATTGATCCTCTTTGTCAAGTTAAGAAGTTCCCTTATCTAGTTTTCTGTTTTTCTCATGAAAGGGTGTTGGATTTTGTCAGATGCCTTTTTTCCGTGTTTTTTGTTTTTGATATAATCATGTTTTTTTTTCCTGTATTTTATTAATACAGGGTATTACACTGATTTTCAGATATTAAACCAATCTTTCTCTCCTCTTGTTTGTGGTATACAATCCCTTTTATATATTGCTGGATTTGTTTTGCTGGTATTTCTTTGATAATTTTTTTGGGTCAATATTTATAAAGTATATTGATCTGTACTTTCCTGCTGACATCTTTGTCGTGTTTTCACATCAGGGTGGTATTGGCATCATACGATGGCTTGGGAAGTATTCTCTCACCTTCTAGTTTGTAGAAAATTTCATGAAGAATTGGCATTAATACTTTTTTTAAGACTAATATTTTAATTTTTGTTTTTGTCTTTTAGGATTCTCCTTTTACAAATGCAGGAATGGGATCTAATCTAAATCTGTTAGGTGAAATTGAGTGTGATGCCAGCATAATGGATGGAAAATCCTTAAATTTTGGAGCAGTTGGAGCACTGAGTGGTATGTGGGCATTATGACCTACTATCTTTGGAAAATCATGCACTTGACCATTTCATGCCTTCTAAAGATGATTATGGTCTTTGTCACCATTACTGCTTGGAATAGTGTTTAAAACAAATATACTTCTTTGTTTATTGAATTTAAAACATACAGTCTTAGTTATACGTAGTTTTTGGTTTGAATTTGATCATTCTCCTGTATCCCTTGAAGAGATTAAAGACATTTAAGACTTGATTTAGAATATTAATTTTACAATTTGAAATACATGCTATAGTTTTTGTTGTAAAAAAATTTCAGGTAATATAAATAAAGTTTACCTTTGATCCTCCAAATCTTTTCTTTGTCATTTCCTTTCTCCCTGGGGTTTAACCAGTAAAAATCCAGTGCTTTTATCTATATTTTTATGTAATAGAAACACAGTTTTATTTTGTGCCTGTATTTGTTTTCTTAAAAAATAAATGTGTTAATTATTATAAACTTTTTAGATTTAAATATAATCTTTGGAGATTTTTTCCACATCAGTACATAAAAGATATGTCTCATGTTTTATACTTCATTTTTTAAAGTAAAATATACATGAAATATGTATTTTATGTGTACAGTTTCATGAATTTTTAGATGTAGACATCATATAAGCCGCCACCTAGATCAAGACATTCAACGTTTCCGTGTCAAAATGTAGAACATTTTCATAACCCCAGAAGGGCCCTTTATGCTTCTCCTCGGTCCATACTTCTTGTGCTCTCTTCCCCCATGCTAACTTTGGGTACCATAGATTAATTTGCCTGTTCCTAAAACTTACGTGAGTGGAATCAGACACTTCTGTGTCTATTTTCTTTTGCTTAATGTTATGCCTGTGAGATGGATCCATGTTTTGTGTCAGTAGTATTTTATTTTTTTACCACTTAGTAGTATTTCATTGAGTGAATATACCATAACTTCTGTATTTCGTCTCCTCTTAATGGGCGTATGAAATTTCTAGTTTTTTACTTTTTTGAGTAAAGCTTCAGTGAATATTATTTTACATGTCTTTTGGAAGACATATGTACTTCTGTTTGTTTTTTTTTTTTTTTTTGAGATGGAGTCTCATTCTGTCACCCAGCCTGGAGTGCAGTGGTACGATCTTGGCTCACTGCAACCTCTGCCTCCCAGGTTCAGTTGATTCTTCTGCCTCAGCCTCCCAAGTAGCTGGGACTCCAGGCACCCATCACAATGCCTGGCTAATTTTTGTATTTTTAGTAGAAACAGTTTCACCATGTTGGCCAGGCTGGTCTTGAAGTTATGACCTCAAGTGGTCTGCCGGCCTCGGCCTCCCAGAGTGCTGGGATTATAGGCGTGAGCCACAATGCCCGGCCACATATGTACTTCTTTAGGTACATATGCATATATGTTTTGCTTTAATAGATACTGCTGGTTTTCAAAAGTAACTGTTGCAATTTATACTCCCACTAGCAGTGTAGGAGCTTTTCAGTTACTCTACATCCTTGCCAATTTTTGGTATTGTTATTGTTTTTAAAATTCAGCCATTTTGATATGTGTGTAGTGGTATTATTTAGTGTCCCTAGTGACTTATGTGTGTAGTGGTGTCCAATTCGAGTGTCCCTAATGACTTATAAGAGCCTTTTCATATGCTTATTAACCATTTAGATATCCTTGTTGAGAAGTGCATGTTCGCACCTTTTGCAGATTTTTATTTGATTATATCTTCTATTGATTTGTTGGAGTATTTTAAATATTTTACATACAAATCCTTTGTAAGATACATGTATTATGGATATCTTCTCCCAGTCTATGGTTTGCCTTTGCAGTCTCTTAATGGTGTTTTTTGATGAATAGAAGTTTCTGATTTTAATGAAGTTTAAGTTAGCAACCTTTTCTTTTATGATTAACTCTTTGTATTTTAAGAAGTTTTTGCCTGTTCAAAGTTATGAAGATAGTCTTCATTCTTTTCTTTCTGTAATTTTACTGTTTTTATCCTTCACATTTAGCTTTCTTATCAAGCTCAAATTAATTTTTGTATATGTAACATAGGGGTCAACATTTGTTTATTTTTTCCTCATATGGATATCCAAATGGTCCATTGCCCTCTATTGAAAGGAAGTCTTTTCCTCATAGAATTGTGTTGGGAAATTAGGTGGCTGTGTGATAATTTTTTACTGTACACTGTTATGGCTGCTTTCAAAAATGAGTTGGGACCCGGGAGGCGGCGGAGCTTGCAGTGAGTGGAGATTTCACCACTGCACTCCAGCCTGGGTGACAGAGCGAGACTCCGTCTCAAAAAAAAAAAAAAAAGAGTTGGGGATTTTTTTCCCTATTCTTTGAAAAGGTTTGTATGTGATTGGAATAATTTCTTTTTAATTGTTTGAAAGAATTCATAAATTATTTCAAATTAGTGGGGTTTTCTTTGTGGGAAGTTTTAAAAGTAGGATTCAATATTTTTAGCATTTATTTTCCTTTTAGAAATAAAAAGTAAAAATAAAATAAAAATAAAAAGAAATAAAAAAAAATTTAGATTGTATTTTCTTTTTCATGTGCATTTTTCTAGGAATTTGTCTGTTTCGTATGAGTTGTCAAATTTGTTTGCCTAAAGACATTTTAGTTAGCTTTCTTTATTGATTTCTAGTTTAATTCCACTGTGGCCAGAGAATGTACTATGTATGATATCAATCCCTTGAAGATTTTAGAGACTTGCTATATGGCTCAGATTATGGTGTGTTTTGGTAAATTTCCATGTGAACTTCAAAACAATATGTATTCTGGAGTTGTTGAGTACAGTGCTCTATATGTGTCACTTAGGTCAATTTGGTTATTTATTTGTTCTGATGTTTTATATCATTTCTTTTTTGTGATAGTTAAGAAAGGGTGGTTCAATTAGTTTTACTTTTACTTTTTTTACTATGAAGTTTTATTGGTATTTAATAAAATTTCATGTGTTTGAAGGCCATTAGGATTTCTCTGGGTACTACCTGTTCATACCTGTTGTGTGGCTTACCTTTTAACTCTGTTTATAATATCCTTAATCATATTGCAATTAAAAATTTTTCTTTGTCCAACTTACTGCTTTCTCTTTTGTGGCTTTTGTATTTTGTATTTCTTAAAGTCTCTTATAATTTATAAGCGTAATTTACTTGTATTTTCTTCTAACACATGTATAGTTTATTTTTCCTTTACCTCTTGAATGCGTTTTTTTTTTCCTGAAATGACTGAGAATTGTTCCTACATAGTTAATTGAATAAGTACAGTTTATTAAATGACTGTAATACCCTAGGCATTGTTCTACAGTGGTTTACATATTTTATTTATTTATTTATTTATTTATTTATTTATTTATTTATTTATTTATTTTTGAGACGGAATCTTGCCCTGTTGGCCAAGGTTGGAGTGCAGTGGTGCGATCTTAGCTCACTGCAACCTCCGCCTCCTGGGTTCAAGTGATTCTCCTGCCTCAGCCTTCTGAGTAACTGGGATAACAGGCGTGTGCCACTATGCCTGGCTAATTTTTATATTTTTGGTAGAGACGGGTTTCACCATGCCGGCTAAGCTGGTCTTGACATCCTGACCTCGGGTGGTCTGCCTGCCTCAGCCTCCCAAAGTGCTGGGATTACAGGCGTGAACCACCGTGTCTGGCCCAGTGGTTTACATATTTTAAATCATTTAGTTCTCACAATACCCTTATGAGGCCTATGCTTTTATCCTATGTAATACCATTATGAGGTCTATGCTTTTAAATCATTTAATTCTCACAATGCTCTTATGAGGTCTGTGCTTTGCAGATGAGGAAATTGAGACACAAGAGAGATTTAGTAGTTTGTCCAAGGACATTGTATTATTCTAGGTAAAACTAGAAGACAGAAACCATACCATAGTTTAAATAGAAGTTTAATATAAAGAGTTATTAAGCAGTGATTGGAGAGTAACTCTGTAAACATGGGAAGAGAACTCAAAAATGTATCCTAGGGCAGAGGGAGAATACCCAAAGAGAACACATTTGGAAGTAGATTTAGACCTCATTGAAGAAGGTGTGGCTATCATCCACTGTATGGCAGAGAAGTTGCTGAATTACCCAGGCCAGAGCTAGTCTATAGTTAATGTGTGAGTAGGATCAATCCTGTGAGGCAGAGGCAAGCTTAGGCTGGTAGGTGGGCACACAGAGGTCAAGATGCTGTGAGAATTAAACCTCCCTGGGCAGGATAAAGATTGGCCTTTGGCTCACTGCACAGGCACCCTGTGGAACACTTGCTATGTGTGCCTATGGGGCTGAGCATTGGGTGTGGGGATCAACGTCCTGAACTGGAGTATGGTCTCATTCTTTCTGGAGCTCTCAGCTATGCTGCTGTGGCACCAATCAGGAGCCGGAGAAAACGTGGTGTCCAAATGCTGGAGAAAGCTGCTCCCTGTGGGCACTTAGCACAGGAGAGTACCACATTGGCCAAAGTGAAGCCTGGTGAGCAAGATACCCTTTCTTCCTACAGTATTTCTTTAGTGTCCTCTACTGACAAAACTTACCCATTGTGCTAGCTGGCAAAGGAAACATACTTAGAGGGCCCATATCCATTTTCACACATCAGGCAACAAAGGGTGAATTTGTAGCTGAGAAGCGATAAACTGATTAACTGGAACAGTTACAAAGTAGTCTGACTCCTAGGCTTTTACCTTTGTGTTCTTTCTCCCTCTTATATGTAGTTAACCCTTTTCCTACTGATTTGAAATATTAAATACCTAAATTCACAAGTGTCTGTTTCTGAACTTTAGCTTTATTCTATTCCATTGACATATTTGTTTATTTTGTACTCAAACCACTCTTTTTTAATTAGAATAGCTTCAAATGAAAAAAAGATATCTTGCAGGGTAAATACCTCTTCATTTTTCTTTTTCAAAGTTTTATTTTCCTGATTAAGAGTCAGCTTCTCATGCATCGTGGAAATCCTTTTGTGGTTTGATGGAGAATTGGATTTATAAGTTATAAATTGGATTTATAAGTTATAACTTATATATATATAAGTTATATACACTTATAAGTTATATAAACTTATAAATGTATGTTATATAATGTCCTTTTTTCTAATGCCACAGGATATCTAATAATATAACTAGAAAACAGTTTATTTAGCCATTGATGGGTATTTCGGGAGCTTATATATATACATATATACATAAACTTATAAATGTATACATATATGTTATATAAACTTATAAGTTATATAAACTTATAAGTTATATAAACTTATAAATGTATGTTATAACTTATAAATCCAATTTATAACATAAATTGTTAATTTATAAATAATATATATAAAGTTACAAATTGGATTTATAAGTTGGATTAAAGATTTGGATTTATAAGTTAACTTGGAAAAGTTTAATGTCTTTACAATATTGAATCATCACATCCAGAATTATATTGTTTTCAGAAGTAGGAGACCTGATTTGGGCTTTTCTTTATCTTGTTTTGTATTTCATACTTTTTTTGTGGAAGATTTGGTATTGAACTACATTTCTACAGTTGGTTTTGCTTAGAATCAATCTGTTGGCCTTAATTTAAATTTTTATAGTCTCTTTATATATCCCACTGATGATTTGTTTGTATTAATAATGTCCTGAAAGGCAGGCATAGATTAATGATGAAGGGTATGGTCTTCGATATTAGCTGCCTCTGTGTTAAAATTCAGCACTGTGATCATGGGCAGGCAACTTAACTCTCTTTATAAATGTTTTCTCATTAATCAGATAGGATTAATAAGTGTTGGTTATATGACAGAATTGAAGGATCAGCGAACTCATCCGATATATTTAAGAGTTTGGCACTAGGCCTGCAGCATATTAGGAAATAGTTACTTTCATTGCCTTCCATCATCATCATCATTGTTGTCATCACTGTCATTGTCTTTGTCATTGTCATCTTGACAGTGTTTATGACACTCAAACTGTCCTGTCAGTTCTCCTGGATAAGCACCGTCACCTCACTTGTACATACTGGTTGGCCTCTTGGAAAGAATCTGAACCACATTTTAGGTTACAATCTTTTATACAGTTGGCCTTCTCTCCCACCCTTACCCAATTTGAAGGACATTTCCCCATTCTCTCTCTCGTAGGTGACATTTAAAAGTTTTGGCTTATTTTTCCCCCATTAATTTTTATCTCCAAGGTCAACTTGAAGCTGTTTATAATGATGTTTATTCTTTAAAGGGTGTTTATGGTTTTGTGGTCACTAAATGCCTGGAGCATGTATATAGTTTTGATAGTAAGATAGTATCACATTTTCAGTTCATTTTAAACACTCTATTCTGAAATCTATTAAAAAAGATTTAATTTAATTTAAATATATAGTATTTCAGTTCAGCCTTTGCTTCTGTAGCACATGACAAAACATGAGAATATGTATTTTATATTTGTTCTTTTCTTGCTTCTAGGTTTTCATTTATTTTTTGATTTAACTCTTATTGCTCATGGTTATTAAGGGTTTTCATTAGTGTTACTTGATATATCAAAAAAGAATTTCCAAGATATATTCAAGTTGTTTTATTGAAACAACTGCAAAACTGAGTGGGAAACTGAAAGACATTTCTGACATCTTTTTTGCCAATTTTTTTTTTATAGGAATCAAGAACCCAGTCTCAGTTGCCAACAGACTCTTATGTGAAGGGCAGAAGGGCAAGCTCTCGGCTGGCAGAATTCCTCCTTGGTAACCACTTTGTTCTTCCCAACTTTCCCTGTCTTTAGTGCATTTTTATCCACAGAAGGCTGATGCTGTTGGTTACATACCAGGTATCATGCCTTTGAAGAAGAAGATAAACTTTGTTCTGTGATCATGGAACATTTTGTACAGCTGATAAAGTTCTGGATGGAAAAGAATATTATGGATTAAAGCAGAAAGGGGATCAGTGTTCAACTGGGCTCATTTTATTTTGAAACTTAAAAAAAAAGTGACACATTGTAGTCTAGAGTCTAAAGTAATTTTTAAATTTGAGAAGTTCTTAGCATAAAAGTACATGGAATATAGTAAATAGCCCTTATGAACCTGTAATCCAGCTCCAGTAATTACCAGTGTTTTGTTCTTATCTGTCTCATGCATCTCAGGTTTTTTCCTATAGGGTTTTTTGTTTTTGTTTTTGTTTATTTTTATTTTATTTTATTATTTTTTTTTGAGATAAGGTCTCACTCTGTCACCCAGGCTGGAATGCAGTGGTACAGTCATGGCTCACTGCAGCCTTGACCTCCTCTGCTCAAGAGATCTTCCTGCCTCAACGTCCTGAGTAGCTGGGACTACATGCTTGTACCACCATTCCTGGATATTTTATTTTTTTTTACAGATGGGGTCTTGCTATGCTGTCCAGGCTCATCTCAAACTCCTTGATTCAAGCAATCCTCCTGCCTTGGCCTCCCAGAGAGCTGGGATTATAGGCATGAGCCACTGTGTCTGGCCCTTATAGTATTTTAAAGCAAATCCCCGACACCATAGTTTACCCTTAAATAGTTTTGTAAGTAATTCTGTGTTTGCAAAACATAGCCACTGTACTGTTAGCTTGCCTAACAATATTAAAACTTATGCTTTAATACCATGTTATGCTTAGTCTATGCTCAGCATACCTGGTTATGGAGGTTACATTAATGTTCTGTGTTCAAAGTTGTGGTGACAGTGCTGTAGGAATCACTTTGTTTGATTCTACTGTGTTTTGAAGTCACAGAAAATATATAGTTAAAAAAAACTTAAATCCTTTACCCAGCTAGATTTAAAATTTTAATTATATATATCCCAGTTTAATTATGGCACTAGAGAGTCAATTATGAAAAAATTCTCAAATATTAATTTTTAATATGTGTTTTTGATCAAGCAGTGGTAAGGGGTAGCAAATCTGATTTATTGAGATCCTTTCTAATATCTGTTGGATTGATTTCAGTAAGTTTCCTGGTAACTCTGAAAGTGAGAAAAGTGATTTAAAAAAATTTTCCCTCATGATTTATTTAAAAAATGCTTCTCTCATGATTTATGTTAAACCCATGCTATTTTGTTTAACTGGTATGAGATTATCAATCCAAAATTTACTAAGTATTTGTTTAGTAGGTACATGTGGAGTCCTTCTATCCATACGTTTTTAAGCGAGTAGTAAGTGCAAAGAGATTGTCTCTGGATTTATATTCTCTGTAATGTGCATTTAAACATGACTGTGTTCTTTCACCCAATATTTTCTATTGTGTGTAGAACCTAATTAACATGAACTAAACAATTTAGAAGACATGTACCCAGTAGGGAGGAGAAGATGTAGTTGTTTGGTTGGCAAGAAAAATAGCATAAACAGTGTAAAAAGCATTTGGAAGTTCACCTACAAGTCTACTATAATCCCGTTGCCCCCACTCCTCATGGCGTTTACCAAGCAAATTCTCAAATTTATATGGAGGAGCAAATGTAAAAGAATAGTAAAGACAGTTGTAAAACAGATGAAAGAGTTGGACGTACTTAATGGATAGCATGATACTTTTATATAATACTACAGGAATTAAAACAGGTTGATATAGGTATAGATAAAAAGATCAGTAAGAACTGCAAGTCTAGAAGCTGACTCAGTGCATGAGGGAATTTGGTCTGTGACAACAGTGTCATCTCAAATCATTGTGGGGAAAAATAATGGTGTATTAAATAAATTGTGTTGGGACAGTTGGCCACCTAGTGCAAGAACATTAAATTCCGATGTCATATCACTAAGAAAATGCCCAAACCCAAAAGTAAACAAATGTAGTACAAAAATATTAGGAAAAAATATGGGAGAGTATTCTTATGACTATGAGGCAGCAAAAAATTTATTAAGATAAAAAATAAAGCTAAGTATTGAAACATATGACAAGTGAAGATGTATACCGGTTATACAACTGAAGATACTACGATCAGAATTAAAAGACAGTATGTCCTTTGGAACTGAGAAAAATTGTTTGCAGGATATGTAGCAAACAAAAGATTATCCAGAGTGTTTATGAACTAGAAAATATCAATAAGAAAAAGACAGCTCACATTTTAAAAATCAGTAAAGGATACAAATAGGCAATTTATGGGAAAGAAAATATTAATGGGATATAAACATATGAAAAGGTGCCCAATAATATTAATCAAGGAATTGTTAGTAATAAAATAGATAATATTTTCACCTTTTTCAAGTAGCAAAATTAACAAAGACCAACAATATGCAGAATTATTCAGGGCATAGAAAAATCGGTTCTTTTGCTGTTGATGGGAACATAAACAGCCAGTTGAGAGACATTTGGATATTATTTATTAAGTACAAATTAAAAATGCACATTGTATGCCCAGCATTTCTATCCTGAGACAAAATGCCTTCACAAGATGGCTCATACAGCACAAGAAGGCTATAGCATTGTTGTTTGTAGAATATAAAAATGTAAGCTCCCGAAATACCCATCAATGGCTAAATAAACTGTTTTCTAGTTATATTATTAGATATCCTGTGGCATTAGAAAAAAGGACAGAAACATTTGCGTATAGTAACATGGCTTACTGTTAGAATTAATTTACTTGGGCTGCTTTAGCAAAATACCTTAGATTCAGTGGCTTAAACACTAGAAATGTATTTCTCACAGTTCTGGAAGTTAAGAAGTCCAAGAACTAGGTTCCAGCCTGTTTGGTTTCTGGTAAGCATTCCTTTTCTGGCTTGCTTTCTCACTGTGTCCTTACACTAGAGATAGGGGTATAGGGAATGAGTTGTTGAGAGAGAGAAAACTTTCCTTTTATAAAGACACTAATAGCATCACGAGGGCCCTACCCTCATGACTTTATCCAACTCCGATGATCTCCCAAAGGCCCCATCTCCAAATATTATCATATTGAGGGCTAGGGCTTCAACAAATGAATTTTTGGGTGAACACGATTCAGTTCAGAAATAGATCTCACATTGTAGAGTAAAAAAATCAAATTGCTGATGATATGTTCATTTTGACTTCTGTTTTCTTAAAAAAATTACAAAACAATATGATGCATACCTGTTTTCTACCACCTAGGATAGGAAATAAAACACCACCAGAAGATTTGGAGCTGCCTAGACTAAACTCTGCCAATTTACATTTCTGCCTACAATGTCTTATGCTCATTCAACCAAACACTTAACAGGAGTAATACAATATTTTAAAAATCTTTCCAAAGTTAAAAGGGAAGAGATTTAACATGTACTCCTTGTTCCTTCCACTGTCTCACATGCTTACCCTGACCCCCATCTCTTCCCTACCTCTAGGTAACAATAACCCTGATTTTAAGCTTTTCTCATTGCCATATATTCTTTCATATTGTTACAGCATATCTAATACTCTAATTTTCTGTGGCTACATAAATACGTGCATAGATGTACAAAAAAGACTTGTAAAGTAGGTTATGAAGCCCACTGTGATCACCTCAGGGAAAGAGGGAAGAGGGAGTAAGATGAGGCAGTTGTCCAAGGGGACATATGCAATATTTTAATATTTTACAATGAGAAAACATACAGGTGAAAGTGATGGCTACCTCTTTATTAAAATGATATAATAATGGTACACCTGTCTGGAAGTAGCTGGTTTTCTCACAAACATAGTTTTCAACTTTATGTTTTGAGTATTTTGATATTTTAGGTATTTAATATTTTCATATGAATTTTAGAATTAGTTTTTCCATTTCTATAAATAGTCTGCCAGAATTTTGTTTGCGATTCTAATATATGCATTTATTAAGATTTTTAAACTCTCTCAACTGTTTTATAGTTTCCAGTGTATAGATGTTGCACAGCATTTATTATATTTATACCTGGTACTTCATTTTTTTGATGCTGTGGCAAATGGTGTACTTAAGCATGTTAATTTCCAAATGTTCATTGTCAGTATGTAGAAATATGATTGATTTTAACATATTGACATTCTATCATGGGAATTTGGTAAATCCATTTGTTTTAGTCCCAGTTTTTATAGATTCCATAAGATTTTCTTTCTTTCTTTTTTTCTTTCCTTTTTTTTTTTTTTTTTGTTTTTGATAATCTTGCTCTCTGTGGACCAGGCTGGAGTGCAACACATCTCAGCTCACTGCAATCTGTGCCTCCCAGGTTCAAGCAATTCTCCCGCCTCAGCCTCCTGAGTATCTGGAATTACAGGCATGCACCACGATGCCCTGCTAATTTTTGTATTTTTAGTAAAGGAGGGGTTTCGCCACGTTGGCCAGTCTGGTCTTGAACACCTGACCTCAGGTGATCCGCCTGCCTTAGCCTCCCACAGTGCTGGGATTACAGACATGAGCCACCGTGCCCAGCCAAGATTTTTTACATAAATATTATGTCTCCTGGGAATGAGTATAGTTTTATTTCTATTTCTAATCTGGATTCTTTTGACTAATTTTTTTTTGTGCTTTATTGCATTGGCTGGAACTTCCAATGCAGTGTACAGTAGAGAAGTGTGAGAATGGACATCCTTCCCTTGTTTGTGATCTTAGGAAGGAAGCATTTGGTCTTTCACCATTAAGTCTGATGATTGCTGCAGGTATTTAATCACAGATGCTCTTGATCATGTTGAGAAAGTTCCCTTCTTTTCCTAGTGTATTAGACCATTTTGATGCTGCTATGAACAAATACCCAGGACTGGGTAACTTAATAAAAAAAAAAAAAGAGATTTAGGCTGGGCACGGTGGCTCACGCCAGTCATCCCAGCACTTTGGGAGGCCGA